TGTGTGTATATATATATATATATATATATATATATATATATATATATATATTGTGTGTGTGTGTGTATTTATATGTACATATATATTAGGGCTGCACAATTAATTGATTTTCTAATCGCGATTACAATTACGGATGCCATAATTACATAATCGTTCAAAGCAGCAAGTAATCAATTAATTGCAGCAATTAAAAGTCCACTTATGTTATTCTGCGTGCTTAAGAGGTGTTTTTTTCTCTTTCTACATGTTATCTTAAGGGTTTTTCCATTGTTTTCATTTTAGTTTTAGTATAACATTATAACCAATCCGATGTTTAGTTGAAATTTGACAATACTATAGAAAAGCACTAAAAGTTTGTCAGTTAGAGTGTTTTCAGCTTGTTTATTTTCATATAAAAATACGGCATGCAGTTGCATAAAACAATGGTATAAACATCATTCAATGTAAATTGTGATAATCGTAATTAATAATCGCAATTACAATTTCAAGGGAATAATCGGCAATTCTGATTTTTGTCATAATCGTGCAGCCCAAATATATATATATGTATATATACTCAAAAGTAAAACATCGGACCACATTAACGTAATGAGTTTTTTGAGGGGAAATGTGCTTTTGCTACTAAAGCCATTTTCATTATGTAAAATATAATTTCTTATTTGCGGGTGAAATGTGATCTGCACATGTCTTTCATGAGATCCACCCTGTTGTGTAATAATTGCATGTTGCCTATATATTATTGTCCTTCACATGTGTTTGGTGTTAATCTGCAGGTGTGTTCGTGTTGTCTTTCTCTCAGGTTTTGTCCCGTTTTTTTATTTAAAGAAGAAACCAATCCGATGTATATTTGACATTTGTGGCTTAATACTGTATAAAAGCAATAAAAAATTTTCAGTTAGAGTGTTTTTAGCTTGTTCATTTCCATCTAAAAATATGGCATGCGGTTGCTTCAAACAATGGTATAAACATCATTGAATGTAAATTGTGATAATCGTAATTAATCGCAATTACAATTTCAAGGGAATAATCAACAGTCATAATCGTGCAGCCCTACATACTATAGTAAAGTACTTGGAATTTGAAAAGTTTTTTTTTTTGTTTTTTTTTTTTACAAATGTTGTATTTTGTTATTTTTATTGTATTTTTTCCACATTTATTATTATTAGTTTAGTTTAGTTTACTTGCCTGTTAAAAAAAAAACACCCCCAGCTCAACCTTTAATTGTATGATTTTTGTCAAATTCACTGATTTTCCCATTAATTAAGTCCAGGGGAGCTCACTCTAAGAGAAATAAACTAAAGAACTGAATAATTACAGTGTTTTCACATAAATGTTACCTTTGTTTTGAATTGTCTGAATGTAAATTGTGATAATCGTAATTAATAATCGCAATTACAATTTCAAGGGAATAATCGGCAATTCTGATTTTTGTCATAATCGTGCAGCCCAAATATATATATATGTATATATACTCAAAAGTAAAACATCGGACCACATTAACGTAATGAGTTTTTTGAGGGGAAATGTGCTTTTGCTACTAAAGCCATTTTCATTATGTAAAATATAATTTCTTATTTGCGGGTGAAATGTGATCTGCACATGTCTTTCATGAGATCCACCCTGTTGTGTAATAATTGCATGTTGCCTATATATTATTGTCCTTCACATGTGTTTGGTGTTAATCTGCAGGTGTGTTCGTGTTGTCTTTCTCTCAGGTTTTGTCCCGTTGGCCAGCGAGGGCCGGTTGGAGCCTGTAGCTGGTCCAGTTCCTCATCATTACCCAGAATCCTCCACCAGCGTCAGACTGCCCGAGGCCTTCACTTCTCCTGCCACACACTTCAGCCCCATAATACTGACTCATCACCCGCAGTCTGAGCTGTAGGTCTGCAAAGAACAACTCACTGATTCTAGGAAATCCCAGAATGCATCATGTTGAATGTAATTGGGTCATCAGTGAATGTTTATTGAATCAAGGCCTTTGTTAGTAGCCAAACTTGTGTTCATGAGATGCTGATTCATGACATGAATGCTGTTGATGTGCATTAACCAGGTTACTAATTCTTTGAATCAGTGCATTTTTGCAAGCCAGGAATGATCAGAATCCCCAACCCTTTGAGATGGATTACGTTTTAGTGTTTTGTCAAAGGAGATTGTGTTTCATAAAGTCTGTTATGTATCTTGACCAATGTGTATTTTAGTAATAATTAATTTTATTTTATTTTAGTAGTAATTCATACCCTGTTATAGATTTTATTAATATCTTATTATTTTATTATTTTATATTTATTTAATTAATTTTAGTTAAATTTTAATAATTATGTTATGTGGTTTTAATATTATTATTTAAGTTTAATAAATGTTTTTATTTCAGTTTTAGTTTTTATTTATTTTAATTCCAGTTAGTAATTTTAGTGCTTAAACTTAAACTAAACGAAAATACGTTTTTCATTTAATATTTATCATTTTATTTTATTTTATTTTATTTTTAATTATTACTTTTAGTTTTAGTTAACAACAATAACCTTGATCTGGATCCCTAATGTTCTTGTTTTAATTATTTTTAAGGATTTAATGATCTTTTTATTTTACATTTGACTATTTTTATTTTATTTCTTTAACATTTAAAAAAATATATATTATTTTTAAGTATTATTTTATTTTATTTTATTGAATGTTGTTTTATTTTTTACATTGTATTATTTTTGCTTTTATTGTTTTAGTTTAGTTTAGTTTAGTTTGCTCACCTGTGATTAAAAAAACTCAAAAAATGATTTCTGTTATAAATTCACAGATCTTCGGCTTAAATCTTGCTGTGACAACTAACTGAGCAGTTTTTTTCCATCTAATATTTATATTTATTATTATTATATAATATTATTTTATTTAAGCTTTATTTCAATTAACAAAAATGTTTCAATAATTTTAATGATAAATACTCTGGAGCTCTGAAGTTGACTTTAAAACTGGACTCAGGTTTAAATTCTAATGTTCTTGTTTATTATTATTATTATTATTATTTTTAAGGATTGTCAGTGGACGCTCTGTTGAGGACATGGCGGATGAAACGATCCTGCGAGAGCCAGATGAACAGGAAGAGAGCGCCGCTGAGGATGATGTTTTCTCTGCCGGTTATTCATCATCATCCAGCTGTAAGACTCTTGTGAATTCCTCGCCTCCAGCAACTCTTCAAATAACCAATCAAGAAACAGACAACCAGCCAAACTTCCCCACCTTGTCTTGTGCTAATGGGATTTGTAACAACTTCCTGCTACAGCAAGACCCGCAGACAGGACGTCTGACCCTACTTCCTGTTCAGATCGCCGTGCTTCAGCCAATCACAGGCGCGGATCACTTCAGCTCAGAACCACTAAACAAGAAGCCACCGAAACCTTCAGAGGACAGTATGAGGAATGAAAGCGTCTGTGTGACCCGCAGAGACTCGGCAGTGTCTCCTGAAAGTGCAGTGGCAGATATTACAGTTCAGCCCAACGCTGCGCCTCACTGTATGAATCTCAGCTCACCTCAGAGATGCTTGTGTCTGCAGCACGTCATTGAGCTGCTCAGAGAACAGTTTGCTTTTGATGGCTACCTGGAGAATGGAGTCCAAGATCTGGCTATGGGTAAAAAATTAAATCACTCATTTTAATGTTTCTGCTTATTTTACCTAATTGTTGTTTATTTTTTTATTATATATTTTTATTTATATTTAGTTTTATTATTTTTACACATTATATTTTACTTTTTATTATTGTTTTATTTTAATACATTTACATTTTTCATTTTATTTAGCTGTACATTTTATTCTTATTATTTTTTTTACATTTTATATATTTAAGTATTATTTTAATGTATTGCTTTTAATCATTTTGTTCTAAAAATGTTTACATTTTTATTATTTCTATTTTATTTTGTTGTATTTTTTACATATTTTATTATGCATATTAATATTATTTAACTTTTTTACATTTCTTTTTACATTTTATTAAGTATTATTTTAATTAATACATTTTTTATAACTTACATTTTATTATTAATTCGTCTTTAATTTTTTATTTTGTTTTTACAAATTTTACATTAAATTATTTTTATTTTATTATTTTTCTATTTTTTAGTTTACATATTATTCTTATTTTATTGTATTATTTTTATTTTACTTTTTTAAAATGTAGTTTTGTTTACTAAACTTTAGTTTAGTTTAAATTGTAGTTTAATTCACAGATTTTTCCATTAATTAAGTCCAGGGTTGCTCACTTTTTTCACTTTTCTAAACAATTGTTTATTTGTAAGTCAGTAAATAAATAAATAATTGAATAAATAAATAATTGTTGTTTATGTGAGAGTAGGCAATATATTTTTAGACACATATTTACCTTTGTTTGAATTGTCTGAATCAGTTCTTTGTGGGAAGAGTCTTGAAGCATCCCTCGTGACTTGTTGTGTGTCTCCAGGAAAATACATCATCTCTTTAAAAACCCTCCAGTTTGAGAGCTTTTGTCGAGCGATAACAGAGAGGTTCAGTGATCTGTACTGGGATCAGAAGCTGCTTTGTGACCTGCACCGTCTGATCAACCAGAACTCCTGCCGACGGTGAGCATCAGCCCAGATCTTTACCCGCTTTATCATCTGCCAGACAAGTCAAATAAATGTGTCCTTATTTAAGAATAATTCGATATTTCTACTGGAAAGCAAGGCAAAAATACTAAGAAGAAAAATCCTATTATTATTTATTTATTTAGAAAAAAACATGATAAAAAACTTAATTGAAGTAGATTTTTCTTATTATAAGGAAGTTTAGAAATACATGAGAAAAATACAGAAAAAAAATTGCATTCCAGAGACAGAAAACAAGACGCTTACCAATTAATGAAATAAAATCTGCCAATGAATTAAAAAAAAAAACACTTAATTCAAGATATGTATTATCTTACAGTTTTGTTTATTTTTTTAGAAGATTTATCCTGTTATAAGGACGTTTAGAAAAAAACACAAGAATGATGCAGATTAAGAAAATAGTTTTTGAAGTACAGATACAGAGAGCAAAGCAAATAATAATAATAATAATAATAAACCGACTACGAAATAAATAAAATCTGCCAATTAATTAAAAGAAAAACTTTTAATTCAAGACACATTATCTTACAGTTTTACTTCTGAAGTGGATTTTTCTTGTTTTTAGAGAAAAAAACAACAAAAATATCGATTAAATATATTTGTATTATACAGATACAGATTGCAAGGCACAAAATAAATAAATAAAAATACAAATGCATGAATGAATGAATAATAGATTGATTGTTATTGAACAGCTCACATTCAGGTTTGTTTTTCTGAAATGCACAACAGCCTGTGACTTAGAATTTGAATTTCAGTCACATGACACCTTCTCAAAAACACACACATCCACTTCCGTTGCATTTATCATCAGTGATCAGGCCAGAATCGTTTCAGAAACAGCTGTTGGTCCCTATGCAAACAGAAGTGTCCTCAAGATCAGGAACAGACACAGCGCTGACGTCACATGAAGCCAGAGACACACAATAGTCTCTTTCTCACAGCGGATCACATGCGGTCCGATCCGTCTCTTGAGTGTTACAGATGCGCTCTGCATGCGGTCCGATCCAGCTCTGGGTGTTACAGATGCGCTCTGCATGCGGTCCGATCCATCTCTGGGTGTTACAGATGTGCTCTGCATGCGGTCCGATCCATCTCTGGGTGTTACAGATGTGCTCTGCATGCGGTCCGATCCATCTCTGGGTGTTACAGATGTGCTCTGCATGCGGTCCGATCCATCTCTGGGTGTTACAGATGTGCTCTGCATGCGGTCCGATCCATCTCTGGGTGTTACAGATGTGCTCTGCATGCGGTCCGATCCATCTCTGGGTGTTACAGATGTGCTCTGCATGCGGTCCGATCCATCTCTGGGTGTTACAGATGTGCTCTGCATGCGGTCCGATCCATCTCTGGGTGTTACAGATGTGCTCTGCATGCGGTCCGATCCATCTCTGGGTGTTACAGATGTGCTCTGCATGCGGTCCGATCCATCTCTGGGTGTTACAGATGTGCTCTGCATGCGGTCCGATCCATCTCTGGGTGTTACAGATGTGCTCTGCATGCGGTCCGATCCATCTCTGGGTGTTACAGATGTGCTCTGCATGCGGTCCGATCCATCTCTGGGTGTTACAGATGTGCTCTGCATGCGGTCCGATCCATCTCTGGGTGTTACAGATGTGCTCTGCATGCGGTCCGATCCATCTCTGGGTGTTACAGATGTGCTCTGCATGCGGTCCGATCCATCTCTGGGTGTTACAGATGTGCTCTGCATGCGGTCCGATCCATCTCTGGGTGTTACAGATGTGCTCTGCATGCGGTCCGATCCATCTCTGGGTGTTACAGATGTGCTCTGCATGCGGTCCGATCCATCTCTGGGTGTTACAGATGTGCTCTGCATGCGGTCCGATCCATCTCTGGGTGTTACAGATGTGCTCTGCATGCGGTCCGATCCATCTCTGGGTGTTACAGATGTGCTCTGCATGCGGTCCGATCCATCTCTGGGTGTTACAGATGTGCTCTGCATGCGGTCCGATCCATCTCTGGGTGTTACAGATGTGCTCTGCATGCGGTCCGATCCAGCTCTGGGTGTTACAGATGCGCTTTGCATGCAGTCCGATCCGTCTCTGGGTGTGACAGATGCGCTCTGCATGCGGTCCGATCGTCTCTGGGTGTTACAGATGCGCTCTGCATGCCGTCCGATCCATCTCTGGGTGTTACAGGCGCGCTGTGCATGCGGGCCGATCCGTCTCTGGGTGTTACAGACGCGCTCTGCATGCGGTCCGATCCGGCTCTGGGTGTTACAGATGCGCTGTGCATGCGGTCCGATCCATCTCTGGGTGTTACAGATGCGCTTTGCATGCAGTCCGATCCGTCTCTGGGTGTGACAGATGCGCTCTGCATGCGGTCCGATCCGTCTCTGGGTGTTACAGATGCGCTCTGCATGCGGTCCGATCCGTCTCTGGGTGTTACAGATGCGCTCTGCATGCGGTCCGATCCGGCTCTGGGTGTTACAGATGCGCTCTGCATGCGGTCCGATCCGGCTCTGGGTGTTACAGATGCGCTGTGCATGCGGTCCGATCCAGCTCTGGCGGTCCGATCCGGCTCTGTTTGTTACAGACGCGCTCTGCATGCGGTCCGATCCGGCTCTGGGTGTTACAGACACGCTGTGCATGCGGTTAAACGCTGGCGCGTTTTTATAATTTTTTTATTTTATTTTATGTTATTTTATTTTCTTTTTTATATTTGATATATATGTTTTTTTTATTATTTTATATTAGATTATTTTATATATTTTTTTTGCCCTGCAATGTGTATCTTTACTGCATAATCTTAATCAAGTTTTTCTCATGTTTTTTTTCTAAACATTCTTAAAGCAAGATGAATCTATTTAAGAAGCAAAATATGTCAAATAATGTATCTTGAATTAAGTTTTTTTTTTATTATTGTCACATTTTTTATTTAGTTTGTTTATTATTTTTGCATTGTTTTCTGTATCTCTAGTGCAAAAAAAAACAAACTTGACCTGTATTGTTGTTGTGTTCTCTAGTAAAATTATCTAAACATCCTTAAAACAAGATAAATTACTTAAAGAGCAAAACTGTTTAATAGATAATATACTGTATATTGAATTGCTTTTTTAATTCATTTGTTTTTTAAATTCGATGTATTTTAAGCATAAATCTCACAAAAATTGTGTTAGCTTTTGATTTTTAGATATTTTACTGGAAAACAAGACAAAAGTGCTGGTTGACTGATTTTTTTTTCTACAAATAATAATTTTCCTAATCTGTATTTTTTGTCATGTTTTTTGTAAACATCCTTTAAAAAAAAAAGCTATATCTACTTCAGCAAAACTGTAAGATAATGTTTCTGAAATGTTATTTTTTTTTCTTTTTAATTTGCAGGTTTTATTTATTTAGTTAATCAGTAGTTTTTGGGTGGGGTCTGGCTTTCTGTATCTGTACTGCAAAAAATATTTTTTTTAATTTGTATTTTTGTTGTTTTTTTCTAAACATCCTTAAAACTGGATAAATGTACTTAAAGAAACAAAACCGTGTAAGATAATACGTCTTTGAGTGTGTGTGTGT